AGATTCTTTATTTAGAGATAGTCAGAATATCCAAAGAAAAAAAAATATAATCCATATTTAACAAAACCTGCGATTTTTCCAATTCTGGAATTTTCGTTATTTTTAAAACAATACGATATTTTTTTTATTAAAAAAACATGTATTTTATTGAAATGCTGAAAGATACAGATTTCGTTTTTAGGCCAAGATTTTTAAAAATATATTTTCTCTTTTCATTTTTTTGCTGGTTTTATGAATTTTCATGCTTTATGTCCTCTCTATATTTTCTTTTTTTTTCTTCCCGGTTTTCTATTACTTTCTAAATGACTAAAAAAATTTTTAAAAAAAGAAGAAAATCTATGATTTAAAGATATCTATTCGGGTAATATGATTCTTTGTTTTTGCATTTTTATATATGGACTTATTGATTCTTATTTTTTTCTACGAGGTGTTAACGAAAAAAATGGGGAACTGCGACCATGAAAGAAAAGTAGTTATTTACAGACCAACTTTTCTGTCATCATGAATGCAATCCTGTCGAGCATGTATACAACGATCTCACTAGTATTAGATATGGCTACTCCATTTGTAGTTCAGATTTGGATTTGCTCCTCGATTTATTCCATATCTATCTATCTATCTATCTATCTATCTATCTATCTATCTCAGTTTGGTCATATCTATCTATCTATCTATCTATCTATCTATCTATCTCAGTTTGGTCATATCTATCTATCTATCTATCTATCTATCTATCTATCTATCTATGTCAGTTTGGTCATATCTATCTATCTATCTATCTATCTATCTCAGTTTGGTCATATCTATCTATCTATCTATCTATCTATCTATCTATCTATGTCAGTTTGGTCATATCTATCTATCTATCTATCTATCTATCTATCTATCTATGTCAGTTTGGTCATATCTATCTATCTATCTATCTATCTATCTATCTATCTATCTATCTATCTATCTGAGTATATCCATTATCTACCTATCTGAGTATATCTATCTATCTATCTATCTATCTATCTATCTATCTATCTATCTATCTATCTATCACTTTCTTTCTACGAGGAGGTATATATATATTCGACTCTCCCGTCGTATTCGACGTATGAGGGCCAAGCAGCTCAGTTCCTAGTAACCGACATCCAGACACCAGCACATGTGATTTGATTATAGTGGTGAAGATTTTGTGCTGAACCATCCACACTTTTTGAAGCGCGAAATACAGAGACCTGGTACACTACGTACCACAAGCTCCCCAAACGACCCTTTGCAGGTTTTGAATTCAGAGTTGTCCTTCTCCTAGGCCAGTTATCTGTAGCAAAAATAATGCAAGCTGTCACAAATTCACAGAGCCGCCCGTCCGAACAGTCGCAGATCAACTCCCAGCAGTTGGCTTGCTTCCTTCTATTCTTGTTCATTGTTACTAACTTTATATGCATTAGGGAGCAGGTATGCTAATCCGTAGACTGCACATCCGACTTATTCCATCAACCCCTTAGGTAGCACAATCGGCTTATTCCATCAACCATTTTCTGTTCTAAGCGACGTAATGAGTTTGCCTCGGTTTTTCTTTATATCATGGAGCCAATGTCGTCGACAGGCGCACGTCATCAGCCTTCTTTGAAAGTAAGTTGAGTTCTTTTGAACAGTTTTCAACTCGGAGAAGGAAAACTCTGATTTAACACCATTTGGCTTGACAGCATTCAACAATTTTGATTGGTTCTTCTTTTTGTGTAGATGTTGCTCTTGTTCAGAAAGCAGAATTGGTCCAGTACAACGTCTTTCCCGATTTCAAAAAAAAAAAAAAAAAATCATGCACAACTGAGTCTTGCAATGATAACTTATGATGGTCATACTCAACAACGAGCTGGCAGCCGTTATATATGTGATTTTTGGGCGCGTGGTTAAAACGTTAGCGTCCAAACCCTGATATCCGAGTTCAAATCACACAATCTCTCACGGAGGAAACGATCTCAGAGTGCGACACAGTTTGGAAGTGCCTGAAAACTATACTGAGTTGACCTAAGCCCAATTACTGAAATCGGGTAGACGAAAAAACAAAGTCCCATTCATGCTCAATGGGGGTCAAATCTGGTGAGCATCGGAGCCAAGAGGGTATGTCGGATTCAGCCGCATGATACTGGAACATGTTTCATGTCACGAGGGGTGCGTTAACTTACTGAAAAAAAACATTGCCACTGGGAACTTTTGGGTGATAGAAAAAGGTATGTAAAAGTTGTGTATGTCAGAGGTATTAAGACACTCATGATCTCTCTCTTTCTAACGCTATCTATCTATCTATCTATCTATCTATCTATGTGGCATGACTTAAAAAGAATTATTATTGTTGTAACCTAAAGAAGGTTACTGAATAGAATAATCACACGAAGGTTGGTAATGAACGATAATACTTAGGACAAGAACAACACATATAAGATTCGCCAGCGGCGCGTAGAAGTAGTCAACTGCTAGAAGTCAGTCAAGTGAATTCCACGATGAATATCCA